TTCACATGTGCATAGTGTTCTGGGTATTAGTAAACCAAGCTGAGATACCTTCATTATCACTCAGAGAAAGATTACAGCCTTGAGATTTAATTTATCATCAATAGATCAGATTTTATATTGGTATAGAGATTCAATGAGCCCATTCTCCAGCACGCAATTTATACTGGCCATGATATATTCTTTTAGAGGAAAGCAATTTTTCATGATGTGGATTTCTGTCAGATCTTATCAATTTTTGCTCTTGAATGTGTGTACAGTGACAGGATCATTTTCAAGACTTCATAGATCACTGCTTTCATTGTTTAATGCTCTATAAACATACTTTTTTTTCCCCACACACCAGACAATTTTTGTAAGTAGAACCGTACATGCTGCTACTCGGAAAGTCCCACTTTTAGTCATTTCTTACCAGTACATTGCCTGGTAGAAAAAAGTGATACACAATTCTGAATTCTATAGTTAATTCTCACTATATTGAGAATTAAAGGGACATTAAAGGGTAATTTGTTTCCTCTACCCCCAATGTTAGTGTAAGCACTTACCTTAAATGATGTCTCTTAATCCGATCTTCTTCTTTCCTGTTGTTTTCAGCTTCTTTCCAGCGCTGCAGTGTGTCTCCGATCCAGCGCTGACTCCTTTGTGCTTCCTGTCCCACGTTGTCTGCATGCGGGTGCACGCTGTCCATAGACTTACCTTGTGTCTCTCCTCGTCTCCCGGCCAAAAATCTGAACTGCGCATACGCCCACCCCAAGACCCTTTGCGGCCGCCTGAGATTTTTCAGATTTTCGGACGGGAGCGCGTGGGGAAGCCACAGGTACGTTTTTAAAGCGTTTTTTTTTTTTTTAAACGTTTATGCATATATCTACTGTTTGCTAGCAGTAGATATATGCAAAAATAATGGAGGGGTTTAATAACCCTTTAAAGTAAACCTGTATTAACTGAAATAAGAGCTAACTTCAGTCTAAAAATGCTGATTTCCTGGCTTTTCCTCGTCTTCAGCACTTTCTGATAGGTAGCAGTAAAAGCACCCCGCTTGCAGTGATAGAGTCTAGAATACTCCTTTTTATTTATGAAAAATCAACAAGATAAGAAATCCAACACATTTCAGGGGTTTATACACTCCTCCTTCTTCATGCTGCATTACCTGCTGGTACAGACATTCAGTACTAATTCTAAAAATACATTTAACACTTTGGACTCCAGGCATTCCTGAAGTGACTGAACTTACAAGTCCTGATGAAGGGGGCGTGTATGATCCCTGAAACATGCTGGCTTTCTTATATTGTTGACTTTTCATAAATAACAAATTATTCTGGACCTTTATCACGACTGGTGTGGCACTCTTCCTGCTATCTGCTGGATTTCTCTCAGTACCTCATCTTTTGCTTGGGGGCTCTTTTTTTGCATGAGGGGCAGCCTCATCGGAGTGATTTCAGTTTGATTAATGAGACAATCATTTACAATACTGGATGTTAATAATAAGAGACCTTCGCGTCTCTTGTGTGTACATTCATTACTATCTAAGTGACTTATCTGGATCAAGGATGCAGATTCAAAAAGGCAACATGAAGTCAGAACTTCTAATTTGCATACTCGCTCCTGGTCTGTGCCTCAGTATTAAAGGTACTGAATTAAAATGATAGCCAGGCAAGTAGCTTTTTTTTTTTTAGGAGAGACCAGCAATAGCAGCCTAAATATTCTCTCAGCCTTGATTCACTACCCAACGAGTCACTGACCCAGAGCAAGCATGCGGTCAGGGACTTGTTCCAGGTCAGGCAATCACTAGGTTGTAGTCTGGTTGAGAGCTTTCTCCTCCTAAAGATAATTCAAATTCAAGTTTTTTTAAATCAATCATTTATTTTTAAGATGAAATCATCTGTAATAAAGGTTAGTCTGATAATCAGTCCTTGCAGGTCTTGATGCATGAGCGTTTCTTGTAAAGCTTTGCAGTGATACGGCAGTGAAGCATTGAACCTTAAATGACTCATAATAGAGGACAATAGTTTACAGTGACAGATAACTAGGTTACACACAATACCAAGCACATATTTTTAAACTGAGTCAGTTTGCATTTTAGGTGTAATGGTTTTTTAATCTGCACACTTCGAGCATTACATCAAGGCACTGCTCAATAACGTAGGGATGTAGCCTTGTCAGAATAATGAGAGCTTTTCACAAGTCCTTATATTATGCCACTTAACTGCATACCGTCTTGTAAACCCTATTTATATTTGTACCCTAGAGTTCAATTTAAGGTGATGGATAGAGTGCTGCTGAGTTAATACACAAGCACTCCCAGCAGCCACACTCTATCTGTCCTTGATGTCAGACTGAGAGGAGAAATGCACACATTACAAATAGCACTCTTGTGTGAATAGAGTACATACATTTCATTGGAACATTTGATGTACAATCTGCACATTATTAAACCCCTGAGGGAACAGTAAATATTCGTTAGAACACCATTCAGTTTATGTCTGCTAACCAACCAATGCAATGTTCTACCCACAAAGTGTGCACTTGTGAAATGAAGGTTTTATAAAACCTAGATGTGTTATTCTTTCTGATGTTGGGACTTTCTGACATATTCAGGGCCATTCAATACAGGCTTTGCAACACAATTTTGGCATTATGGCTGTATGTAGAACTCTTGCATCAAATTCATAAAAGATTTAAGGTAGTTCCATAGTTGCGTGCAACAAATTGACATTCAGTTTCTGATTTGTGACACTTTTCTAATATGTTGCTATGGCTGTGACAATGCATCCACAAATACTGCCATTTCGGGGTTAAGAAAATGGGAGGTATGTAAGACCATTTTCAAGTAAGCAAGGCTGTGCTACTCATCAGTCACTGGCTGCTAGGATGCTATCTTATGCTTAGCATCATTGAATGCTAGGTCGCTGTCAGCACACTGCATCACTGGTTACCAGGACAATATTGGTCCTCAGGGTCAATTATTGCTAGGGTGCTGTTGCCCTGTAGCATCAGTTGCTAGGATGCTGTATGCCTCCCAAGACGGTTGCTAAGATTTTGTTGGCCCACAGCATCATTGAATGCTAAGATGCTATGGGCCCACAGCGACATTGGTTGCTATGAAGCTGTCAGTTGCACAGCATCATTGGTATGATGCTGTGCAGCTGACAGCATTATAGCAATGAAGGACAAGGATGCTTTGAAGTCAATAGACATATCAAGCAATAACACTCTGTGGCCCAGGGGCTGAACATACTTTAAGGACAGAGTGTCATTTGTTGCTAGGACTCTGTTGTCCCATAGTGTTTGCTGCTAGGGCAATGTCAGCCCACACCGTCATTGGTTACTAGGATGCTGTTAGCCCACAATGCTGTTGGTTGCTAGGATGCTATTGGACCACTGCATTATTGATTGTTAGGATGTTGGCAGACTACAATGTCATTGGTTGCTATGAGGCTGCCTGCTGCACAGTATTCTTGTTTTTTTTTTAATGCTGTGCAGCTAACAGCATTATAGCAACCAAGAACACATTGCAGCTGACAACATCATAGCAACCAATGATGCTGTTGGCCATTGGCTGAACATGCGCCGAGTAGTGAGTGTCTGCGTTACGGGCAATCTGGGTGCTATCCCCCCCCTCCCACCATGCCTCCATGCAACAAATTATTGTACCGGTTTCTGACAGGTACATGAATTTGTTGCAGGCACTGACATTTATTGTGCAGAGGCACAACACAATTCTAAAGCGTTGTCTGCTACATTTTTTATAAATTCCCAGGAATGTGCTTTAAACAGGATTAGGTTTATAAGACTATTGCAGGCTTGTTTATTTAGATGTAACAGTGATATGTGGATCATGCTCTACATAGACCTAAGAGATTAAGTCAGAAAACATTTGTGTCTCCATGCATATTAGGGTGAAACTGTTTAATAATAAAATTGGGCTGTGTAGATGGATCTTTTAAATACATGTGGAACTAAATGCAATTTGACAGATTACAACATGTTTTTACTACTATCAGGTTGAGGAACTGAATACATTCCCACTTATTTTTTTCTGTTTGGGGAAAATGCAGTAAATTATACTTCAGAAGATAAGATTTGCTGAAAAAGTGATCCAACAGTTAGGAACCCCGCAGTCTTTGGAAATGAGAATTAACACTTCAGCTTTCTAAGATTGTTCCTTATATTTAAAATGTTGCCTTCAGTAGATATGAAACAAGTGTACAGGTTCCTGTAGCCCAATTTACTTTGGTGATGTCATGTCTGATGTTATGCTCCACGATGGACACTCTCTGATGAAGTGTGTTCTGCATGGCTGCTAAGCATTTCATATTAGGACTGGTGTGTTTTGACTTTAAATTCACTATGAATTGAAGCCTGGGACAGATAGGCAGAGAGCGTTTTATAGATGATCCTACTCTAATGACAAGTGTACTTTAAAATATGGTAGGCCAGGAAAAACATAAGGATAGGAGACACAACACATAACCTAAGACTAGCACTGGGTCCCAGAATTAATTTTGAGAATTCACAGATTCATCAGATATGCCAGTCATTCAACTGGACTGGAAATGTGGGAATTTATGTTTTTTTAGGTCCTAGGTTTTTAGGTTCCTAAAGAATGTCAAACTGACACTTCCCTGACACTTCGGTCCAGGCCAAGAATTTTGAACTCCACTGTTTGTGACAGGTTACACTCCCGTGTTAAATTAGTGATTTTAATAATTGAACTTTTTTTCTCTTGAAAAATACTGTGTGAATTATTGTTCTCTAATCTGGGTGTGTTCAGGGACTCTACTAGAAGATATGATATGATCTTAATTTAGTAAGACAAACTGTAACAATATTTTATTACAGTGCACAGCCATGCATGCTATTATCAAGAAGCTTAATGATATACTGCAAATGACAACCTATTAACAATATCTGCATTTCGACATAGTGCTTGCTATCTGTTATGAATTTAGAAAGTTCCTTAGCTAATTTATTTTGATCTCTCCTTTTTATGATCTTTTAGGAAGAATTTGCACTAGAATGAATTAGAAAAAGAATGAAAATCTGCAGTGATGGAGAATAGGATTTCAGGCATTCAAGTAAACACGGATAAAACAAATCTATCTATGGAAAAATCCAACAGCCCAGTTTATGGCAGCCGAGATCTGATTGGTTCAGGTAAGCTACAAACAAACCATTTAATGTACTAAATAGTAAATTATTTTGTGCAAATAACTCTTTTGTACTAGAGATATGTTTTACCTGCCCAAATATTTGGAAATCTCTTCAGACATTCTTGTTATCCAGGGACTTTTTTGTGAAATAGCAATGCATGACACTAATCCTCACTTTTCTCCATTGCAATCAAATAGCACAGCCCTAGCACAACATATCATTGGCAAGTAAGGAGTAGGACCACTCTGGTTACATATTCTCTAAGCTTTTTCTACACTCTACTCCTTTAAGCATACTTCCTGTGTTTAAAGAGTATCTATGGTCAAAAACTAAAAATAAATATGTATTTCTGTATTCAATTTCCATAAATTGTATTCTACTTCTTATACCATATCAATCTAGAAGTCTGTAAACCTACTTATTGAAGATGCCCATAGAATGTACTTCCTCAGTGTACTGACACAATTTCACTCAGCCCCATGAATATTTACTTCCTTGTGTCTCAAAGCCTGCTGTCCGAACTACAACTCAACTCTTTCACACTCTCTCACAGTGAAAACAGGAAAGGTCCACAATGTAACATTGGGGGTTGTTCACTAAAGAGCCGAAGGATTGCTTCGGCTACAGAAACCCTTTGGTTCAGCCAAACAAAAGGGCTTCTGTACACGCTATTCTCAATAGCGCTGCCTTGCCTGGGTGCTTGGAGAATAGGGGTGAACAGCAGGGAATTAAGTGCCAAACGTTCGCTTTAGGCAATCCAGATATTGCATCGGCTGAGGCGAATGGGCTCTTCCCTTTGTTTCGGCCAGACGTGCTGAGGCTGCCCGGCTGAGCCAAAGGAAGGTGAAGTGAGCCGAATGCAGCCGATGTACGGCTAAAAATAGCCGCACATGGCTGCAGTGAATAGCTGAAGAGGCTTCAGTTCACTTCACATCGACTTGATTATTAATTTGGCTGCCTTCTGCAGCTTAATGAATAACCCCCGTCATCAGTGCTTGCTGGAAGCAGTGCATAATGACATATGTAGTCTTGAGAAATCAAGATTGCATCACTTCAAGCAGCAGGGAAAGAGATGCAAAGCACACTGGGAATCCAGTAAGCTTTGGTTGCATTATCAAAAACAACTATGGTATATATTACAATCTAAACAACTTGTGGATCGTCATATTACAATGCTGAATATACCTGGAAACTATATGCTGGGACTTAAGAACTCCCTTGAATCATCAGCATTGTGCAATCTGTGAAAACACTGTGGGTAGAATTTGTCAAAACTGGAGCAGACAGAATCTGGAGCAGTTGTCCATAGTAACCAATCAGCTTCTCTGTTCAGTTTGTTCAGTTATGCTTTGAAAATATAACATAAAAGGTGACTGGTTGCATGCACAGCTGCTCCATTTTCTTTCTGCTCCAGTTTTGATAAATTCCCCTCTGTGTCTGTAGTCTATATTATACTGTCTAATGGTCAGGAAGCAAACATTAAGGCCTTAAAGCTGTATTTAACAGTAAAAATATAATATCATATTATATATAAAAATAAAAGTAAACAATAAAATATACATATTTATTTAGGTACTTATATTAGCTGTATTATTTAATAAAAAATGTTTTTTTTTTATTCATAATGCACTTTGAAACAAAGTATTTGTCATTCCTCTTTTTTAACAAAGCTGAAACTCAGACCAGAGAAAATCACAGTTTAACACACAGCACGGTCCTGTGTGGTAAGTGGTATCCATAGCAACCGATAATAAATGATAGTTATTTATAGCCGCGTGGACATTGGCCCTGCATCTATTGATATCGTATGTGTTGCACAACTTGAAGTGTTTTTATATTTAAAGCTTGAACTTGCCATTTGTAGTTGTCAACTTTTAATTAATCTAGTGGTGATGATCTTTGAATTAGTATCTCGACTTTCAGTTAAAAACAGTTTCTGCAAGGTAAATGATTGCTGTAATTGCAATTACACTGCCTAATGCCATTAGCTATGAGAGAATGTGTTTTCCAACTAATTTCTACTGAATTTAAACCCCTGTAAGTGACACTTTTGAAACTGATACATATTTGTTTGCAAATATAAGAGGGTTGCCTATTTCTTCTTAAAGAAAAATAAACTGACAGCAGATTTAACTCATGCCTACTCAATTCACGACTTAAAATATACATATATATACGCGGGCTATATTTTTACAGTCTGTGTGCATTTGGTCATGTTACCTAATACTATTTGATTTCACAGTATGTATTGCATGCTAATGCAAAAGTCACAAACGTCACAATTATGGATATACCGATACTAGTATCGGTATCGGTGCTGATAACGAGTATTTGGGCGAGTACTCGTACTTGCCCAAATGCTCTGATGCCTAGCCCGATACTTGAACTTCCGGTATCAGGAAGCCGGGCAGCGAGTCATTACATTGCTACCCGGCTTCCTGATTGGCCGGGAAGCCGGCTCCATGCTCCCTTGTCACTTGGTGCAGAGTTTAATGACTCGCCGCCTAGCTTCTTGACTGGTCGGGAAGCTGGCCAAGCAGGAAGCCAGACCGCGAGTCTTTGCCCGCCGGTTTCCTGATTGGCCAGAAAGCCGGCTTCATGCTGCCTCATCACCTGGCTTCCCTGCTAATCGGGAAGCCGGGTGGCGAGTCATTCTATGCCACTTTGCTTCCTTGATGGGACTTCTGGTACGGTAATCGGTAAGTACCGAAATATAAATATCGGTACTTGATACTGAGAAACCGGTATCTGTGCATCCGTAGTCACAATAATGTTATACTGTGATTAGCCCATGATGCATCATGAAAGTCATAGACCTTACTTGTGTATAAAGAAAAAGAGTAAAAGGTTCTATGTAGTAAGCGATATGATATATTGCAGTAGCTGATCTAAACACAGTAATACAGTGTGAATAGTGCATATGCATTACCAGAAAAAGCAAAATCGCTCAAGAATATCAGTAGCCATTATTTTTTTTAAAACCTCTAGGAATTTTGATTCCGACATGCTAATGGTTGACGTTTAAGAAGATTATTATTTCTGTTCTAGTTCTGTTACTGGGGAAAAACAGAAGAGGATAGTGATGAAACCAGAGTTCCTCTGGTGGGTAAATTGTCTGGATTTCTAGACATTATGAACAGCCACTAAACCTAGTAGTTTTCCTTTTGAGTCTTCTGTGTTAGTACTGTTTAGCATAAACCCAACCTCAAACCTTAAAGTGTATTTCCACTTTTGCAGTCAAATTTAGGGAAACTCCTCCATATGTTTGTTATGTGTTCCTGTTCACACAACATACTGAAACATAACTTTTTCAAAATATATCTTCTCCTTTTTAGATGTTTTGTTAAATCAGGCAAGATGGCCGATTCCAGGGTTTTCTTAGCCCTTTTACAGTGCTCTGTCCCAATGGAAAGTCTTGGGACTGAAATTTGAGGATTGTGTTTATGTGATAAGTTTCATTAACATACAACAGACAAGCCACCTCAGACCCCTCACAGACCCTCCTAACATTTCAAAAAAATAGAAGCAAGGAGACAATTTAACCCTTAAAACCCTAACCCAAGTAAAAGCAATTTAAACTGCAAGAAGCATGTTTTCATTTCTTTTTTAGCTTATGCCATGTGAATGAGAACATCTAACAAGTATAAAATGGACGTCATACCAATTTGGCTGCAAAAGCGGAAAAACCCTTTAAAGTTGGACACCAGTTCTACTATAGAGACTTGAGTTTTGCAAAAACCTGGGCTTAGGGCAAAGAAGTTATGGGGACAGCATGCTACTAAGTTGGGCCACTAATACATTGTACATCCTCATATTGAACAACTAAAATCACTCTCTTTTGCTAAGTGTAGGTTCAGGCACGTCCCACAGCCATATTTGAGCTGCACTTGAGGTAACATAAATCTCATATAAATGATTTTAAATTAGTATTAGTTATAAGTGATGGGGCCAACAGCATTCTAGCAGCTGATCTGTCATGTTTGGAATTTGATCCAGGCCAGAAAACACAAATGGTAAGTGTTTGAAAATGTACTGGTCAATGTGACCAAATATTCTTCACCATTTTTAAAGTAAGATTAATGTTTAAGATGCTTCCCCATGCTGCCTTGCAGCCCTTGCATCCTCCTCTCTATCTTTTCAATCCTTTTCAGAGCCAATCATTAGGAATTGTGTTATCCAACCCTATGGCCCATATGAAGTAACTGTACAAGCACATGTGTGCTAGTGTCTGTCTGTACACAGAACTCAACACACATCATTGATTCACATTCCACTCACCATTATACATTACTTACTCTTGTATTGTCAGACATCTGCACATCAGAAGAACTGTTTATACCCATCAGCATATTCACTTGCTGTGCTTTTTTTTTTGGAATTATTATCATCATCATCATCTGTATATGAGCAGGGAGTTTCAGCTGTGCTGCTTATAGTGTTTACCTGTACAAGACACAGAGTATTTCTTACATGATCATTCACAGTACATGACATTGCTTTAATATGCCAGTTGTCACTATTTGCTGTCATTTTTATCACTTCCTATATTTTGCTTTGCAGTCACTGACAGTAGCAATTGCTATCACTAATTAATTGACCAAGCTAGCTGTCACTTCTTTAGTGTATCGGATAATTTCCTGCTTGCTCTGAGTATGCTTCAGAAAACTCAAGCTCAGAAAATGACTGAAATCATTTTCTCTTTTCAAATGACTGCCGACTTGCCTCATTGCAAATACTTTGATTTTTAATTTGCTGCCGTAAGTGACAAATAGCCACTGTGTTGTTTCTTAATAAGCACATGTATTAAGCTACACCGAAAAAAGTATTCCTTTAGTGTCTCAGATTCAACAATTCAACAATGGGCTTTTGTAAATAAATTTAAAAAAATGTGTTTTTAATTGCAAATGTTTCCTTGTGGTAACAAAAGCCTTCTATTTTTGCAGTGTACCTTCTTAATAGGCCGAACTGAAGACTAATATTTTTGTAGAGTCTCAGACAAATGC